GGTTTTCATAATAAATTAAAACGGGATATTTTTATTCACTCTTACGAGGAAGAGGAAAGGCGATGAGCGCGTTATTCAGAAGGAACGTAGGATAGGATTATTTTATGTTTCTCTAGAGGACAGGAAAGCCGATAAATCGGATTAAACGTATAGTAAACTAAGGTCAAAGGTTGCCAGTCCATTTCGGGTAATACACGTGGGTATCAGTAAGCATATGGGATATAGGTGTTAGTATGGATAGCAGTTGTCAGAAAAACTGAGCGTTGAAACGCATTTGTTATGCTCATTCCGAAGAGAGGAAAGCCGATGGAGACGTTTCAGCAACATAGCAAATTACGCTGTTTTGCCCGGTCAAAGTCCCTGCTCTTTTAATTTTGATGACGTCATCGCATACAAACAAACATAAAACTTCCCCTCAAAACCCATAGAAAGTTTTGAAATAAATAAAATTAATAGGTTTCTTGTGAAAAATACAATCTTCAACGCTGATTTTGAGAGTGTTTTGGAGAGTTAGTGCTTACAAACTGACTCACATGTTCGAAAATATTATTTTTATTCGAAACAATAAACCATAATACAATATAAACAATAATCTATTTCAACTAAACTAATTTCCTCGGAAGACACAATGGGAATTAAGGTATTCGATTTACAACTATTTTCTGGAAACACGACTAAAAACTGTAAAATAACACGCAAAACTACCAAAAAGAGGCAATCTATACAACCAAGCTTGAATATTTGTCCAAATGGAACAAGTTTTAGCGACGCCATAAATTGCAATTGTTACGTCATTGTTGACTTATTGCTGATTTGTAATTGTTGCGGAAATAAAAAAGGAATTTGATGCTCGGCGAAACATCCACTCGTAGTCTGGTATTGCTTGCGCAGCGCCTCGCTTAGAGTGAATCCGTGAAAACGTCTTCAAAATAAATTAGAATTCGTCATCCAGACAGCAGGTTTGCTATTAAATAACAACACTGTATGAAATATTCATGGAACGCTGAGCCAGTTGTTTTGAAGCCGTAGTAGTAACAGTGCTTAAGCCTTGGCGTCTAGGCGTATGGAGTTACTTTATGCAGGTATAGGAAAACATAACAGAATAAGGATCTTTTGTGGAAAGCCCCCGTCAAAAACACCCCTGCTAACGGTCAAAATTTAAAAAAGTAGTTATCCAGTTATGGGTTAGGAATGCAGATTGCACCAAATTCAAATGTTTAAATTATTTCCGACCCTCACTTGATGACTACTAATTTTCTATTTAAAAACGCGGCAGTTATTCTGGGGCTGATAGGTGGAAACGCTGTATACATGGAGTGTGGCTTGGCATGCGAGGACAATAGTTTTAATATTTTTTGGTGGAGCGACGCCGAGCCAGCTGTTTTGTAGCCGTAGTAATAGCAGTTATGCTGGGGTGTGTAGGTATCTGACGATATTTATATCCAAGTCTAGAAAAACACAATAGAATGAGGATTGTGTACGAAGTCCACGACAATGCTAAAAATAAAAATAAAATAGTAATTATCTTGATAGGATTTGGGTTAGGAATGCAGATTGCGATGAAAATTGAAATGTTCAAATGATTTCTTAAACCTAACAATCACTAAACGAGAATATCGGTCAGAGACCGAAGACTTATCGATCGAAAGTTAGGGGATCCCCAAAACAGCGCTCTTACTCCATTGTGACACCTTGTGTCCATCACTAATTAATTAATAACTCGCTAATTATACGACATAATTCGCCCATAATCAATAGGCTTCTGGTCCGAGATAAGATGAATGCACATGCAAAATCTGGAGCAGATTCAATCTCGCTTTCGTGAGATATCGCGTGCATCTAACAGACATACAGACAGACAGACAAATACCTATCAACATACTTACCGATTAAAATCGATAAGTAATGATTACCAACTTAGTATTCTAAAACTTGGCAGTTATAATGTGGTGTGTAGGTGGAAACGCTGTATATGTGGATTATGGCTTGACTTGCAAGGACAATGGTTTTGATATTTTTTTGTGGAGCGAAGTTGCGAGTTGCTTTAATGCTCATAGTTGTATCTATGCATAAGCCGTGGTGTGTGGGCGTCTGGCGTTATTTGTAACCAGGTATAGAAAAGCAAAATGGAATACGGATCTTTTGCACAAAGTCCACGACAACGCTAAAAATAAAAAATAAATTACTAATTATCCAGTTAGGGTTAAGAATCCAGATTGAGCTGGAAATGTAAATGTTGAAATCATTCCTAACGCTATTCCTAATCTTTACTAGATGATTACTAACTTTCTATTTTAAAACGTGGCATTATGACGTGTTGTGTAGGTGGAAACGTTGTATACTTGTCGAGGTTTTGATATTTATTAAGAGAGGAGTTGCGAGTTGCTTAAGCCTTTAGTAGTAGCAGTTATGCTGTGGTGTGTGTTCGTCTGACGGTATTTGTATGTAGGTATAGAAATCCATAATCGAATACGGATCTTCTGTAGAAAAAACTGCCAGCGCTCAAAATAAGAAAATTACTAATTACCCTGTTGGAGTTAGGAATGCAGATTGTGCTAAAAATTTAAATGTTTAAACCATTCCTGACCCTCGTTGGATAATATTAATTTTGTATTTTAAAACGTTGCAGTTATAATGTGGTGTGCAGGTGGAAACGTTGTATACATGTCGAGATTTTAATATTTTGTAGGAGCGGAGTTGCTTTAAAGCGCTTAGTAGCAGCAGTGCTTATGTTGAAATGCCCGTAGTAATAGCAGTTTTGCTGTAGTGTGTAGGCGTCTCAACGTTATTAGTATTCAGGTACAGAAAAACATAGTAGAATAGAAAGTCCCCATAAAAAACTGCCAACGCTTAAAATTCTAAAAGTATCAAATATCCAGCTAGGGTTTGGGATTGGAAGCTAGGAATGCAGATGGAGCCAAACTCAAATTTCCAAATCGTTTCTAACTCCCAACTCCAACTAAATAATTACTGATTTGTTATTTTAAAACGTGGCGGTTTTTCTCAAATCTCACATTTTTGCATTAGTATCAGGGGCTTTATACAAAAGATCCAAGAATAGTTTGATATATATAATCATATTTTGCGCTCAGGCTTGGGCGCTCCAGAAGTGTGAGTACCAATATGGAGGTAACTAATTTTGGATCTCCTGAAGTATGCGCACCAAGATGGCGCACAACCTGAACTCAGGTTATGTACCAGGTTAGGGTTCAGGTTGTGCGACATCTTGGTGCGCATACTTAGGAGAAACCTAATTTTAATCGCCTACTTTACATAAAGGGACTGAATGCAATTGGCAGGGGGTATATTCAATTGGCTAACACAAACAGTCCCCAAACTCGTGATAGAACAAAAATAAAAATAAAATCGGAATGAAATTATGGCCTGACCTGGTACACATACTACGAGAGTACCCAGGCTTGCTTCCTATCTTGTGAAATAGAAAAAATGGTGCTAGCGTGGTTAAGTTAGGCTTTGATTGCTAAAGTCATAGATAATCAGATGTAGATGTACATCGAAGAATTGGTATTCTAGTATTCTGTAATTGAGAATGCCAATATCGTATTCAGATGCGTCAATAAGTGTGACGTCATTGAATGTGACGTCATCACAACAGCGGAAAACTGTACAAAAAAAATTAGAAAGCGATAAACGTCAATTTTCAACAAGTGCCCATACAATAAAGCAAAAACAACAACACCTCGCCGCACGACTTTGCAATGCAACCTGTTAAGTTGGATTATATCATATAATTTTTGCGTTTCAATTAAATTTCTCAATTCGTTTGAATAATGTATGACAGCGTAGGATCAATATATTCTGTAGTAAATGCGAATGTTTATTTATTATGAAAATTTTTCCGTGATCCCGTGTCGTATTGAAACGTTGGTTTAGTTAACTCCATGACTGGGGTTTTAGTGAATGCACGTAACTTTGCTCGGAGATGATTCTCTTCGAGATGAGCAAGAGTTCAAGTGTTAAATAAATTTCCGTCGTTTTCGTGAAAGCAATCACGAATTATCTCTCAGTGGTTCACAATAGGCTATAATGTAACGTTGTTTAGCTAGCTGCATAACTGTGATTTTAGTGGGATCCGTAACTTTTCTCAGAGATGTTAGATGAGCAAAGTTCAGAAGCGCTTACGAATCCATTTTGCGGTTCACAATATAACGATCCATCTTACTGGTGATATGCCCAGCTAAGCAGTGTTGCGAAATCCGGTGTCCGAGTCCGGACCTTTCCAGTTTTTGATTCGTTCCGCGACTAATTCGTTAGTTTAGGTCAGGGGTGGGCAACTTCTCTAGTCGGCGGGCCGGATTATTATAAAAAATACTTCGGTATCCAATCTTTGTTAAATGCTCGACACTCTCAACATTACGTTTCTTGGGATATTTCATGGTTAATACAACTTATATAAAATCTAATTTCTAAAATCTTTTTATATTTAGATTCCAAATATAACTGATAACAGTAGTGGGGAATGTTTACAACGATCTCTGCTCTGACCTTATTTTGTTTGTTTAACAAGTGTGCTAACGCAATTTTTTGTTCACTAAGGCAATTGTTTATTTCACCATCTCGCACTGACAGTGCCGTCATAGTAGAGCGATCGGCAACTTTCATGAATGATGCGTCGGACCACATTACAGAGTGTGGTTGGATATAGTCAGCGGGACGGTCAAAATCTCGTCGCGGGCCGAACCCGGCCCGCGGGCTGTATGTTGCCCACCCCTGGTTTAGATCATTTGTCCCACTTTGAATATGTGATGGTTATTATCATGATTAGAAGCAATATTACTCAATTGCATTGTGACATCACTTGGTGGTTTATGACGTAAAGTTTTTGAGTCATGACGCCACTTTGCTGTAACAATATTCTGTCATGACGTCATTTTCTGTGATGTCATGCTGGTGAAAATACTGATCCGCAACTTATACCAAGTAATCTACATAGGATCGCATTCTATTAGCTGCTTGTCTGCTCTATGTACAGAGAAATATCAAATTCATCTTCTTTTTCAGGATTTGAAATAAAATTCATTTAATCATAAGGAATAACACTGGAAAGCAGAAATTACACGGAATAATGAAAAGAACTGAATTCACTTATTTGATTTGTTTGTTCATCTCCCTCGTCAAGGACACTGTCGGATCAGGTAAATTGTTGTTGTTATGAAAGGTTGCTCGAAACATCAAAATAAAATTAAAGTTACGGTACCCACTGAAATGTCGTGCACAAACATGACGCAAGAATGCCACAAGTCATGTCGATGATAAATAAAGCACACCCGGTGTTAGAAATTGCCGACGTTTCGAATTTCTATTCAGAAAAACTTCGTCCCGGCAACTTTCGAGTGAGTACCCGTAACTTTACTACCAGATGAGTCTCCTTTACTTCTGAGTGAATGCCCGTATCTTTACTCACATATGAGTATCCTTTACTTCTGACTGAGCGCCCGTAACTTTCATGCCCTGATTAAGTTTTTCTGAATAGAATTCGAAATGTCGGCAATTTCTAACACCGCAACACAATTTGACATCACCGGTTGTGCTTTATTTATCATTGGCACAAAGATTTCGCCAAAAATCCATGTTATTATGACATAGTGCACTCGAAGTCAAAGCAAGCTACTTGAACACAATTATTATAAAACGATTTTTTCGGTCATTGATTGAATAATTTGATAGAAAAACCGTTATCGACTGAATTTTTTTTTTATCTATACCAGGGTGTAATCGCGGCACCCGAAACTTTACACGAAAATTTACGAGTTGCTGAGTATTTTTTAAATCCTACATTTTGAAAAAATGTGTCGGGATATGTGAGGGAAGAAACGCTAATTGTTTTTGAAAGTTAGATTGAAGAAAAACTCGTAACCGTCAAATTTTCTGTTCAGCTACTCGATTCGATTATGACATCGCTCAATTGGTTTGTGATGTAACACAGCCTACGGGCGTACGTTCTTATTAAAACACTTAACTTAAGAATGTTGTTGCTATTGACAACGAGTTCAAACGAGTAAACAAACCCGCAAATGCGACACATTAAAAGACTAATGAATAGCGCTGGGCATTTTCGAATACCTGGTAGTTTCAGATTTTCTATCGAATTGAATGGAATCTCGAATACTTGGAAATATATTATTATAGGCGACTTTTTTTTTTGTAATTAGTCCTGTCAACAAATGAATTACTGAAGACATAGAATACGTCACTCAGACAGATTGGTGAGCGTTCATACACAATTGGAAACACGTTTTATCAATAACTCACTACAGAAAATAGTCAAATGTCACAATTTCGTTGAAAAAATATGGCTTCAATATAAAATAAATTGGGAATTCATCTCGACCATTGGCGGAAAGAAACAGAACAAGATTGCGGAGATTCGAAATTTCGCTCTGAACCGATTCGAATAATATACTATTCGATTCGATTATTCAATTCGAAATGCTCAGCCCCACTGATTAGATAGATAGATAATGAACGAACGGGAGCCTCGGCAATTGTTAAGTAGATGTCACTTAATCTCGAGTCAAGTCGCGTCACGGCTTATCCCGGAATGGGCCCGGTTTTTGGATCAAGGGCCAAAAATTTTGCCTACTCAGACTGGCGGGCCATGTGGCGTAAAATGTGACATTTTATGAACAATATTCACACTTTTACGAGAGCAAAAGTGGAAAACATTCCGTTAATCGCAATCTCAACAAATTCCTTGAACTATTTTTAGCTGAAACATAAAGTTTGGTTTTAGTTTGGTTGTGTCACCATCAGGCTGGCCAGATTGAACTATACAACGGGCGGATTCAGCCCGCGGGCCGTTGTTTTCTCATTTCTGGGATAATCGAGTTAAGCCTCGAGTTAAGCCTCTCTGATGGTTTGTTGATGGCAATTCCGGGTTTTTTCATTTTGTCCAAAGTAAAATTTATTTATTCCTCTTTGAAAACAACCAGACTCCTTTTCTGAGAACAATGATTAGACTTGAGGGCGAAGGGAAGCCGAACCTACGAAACAGCGCGGGGATAATCCGAGGTTCAATGGCAAGCATATTGATAACGTTGAGCACGATGGGCCATGCCGCTGAGTCTGGACTATTGATGTCCTAAAGCAGGGATGTGCAACATGCGGCAAACAATAAAAAAATTTGCGACCCGTGGAGATTTGCCAATTTGAAATGACCCACGGCCACAGAATGAGTTTTTAATTGAGTTCAATCTGGTACGTACGTTTGTGTTGCGACTGTTTTACTCGAGTCCAAGTTATTATCTATGCTAATGACTTTACAATACCCTAACAATTAACTTGTGCAGGGCAAACAACGCATGTCATAAGATAAACACCCAAAATTACTGGGTCTGTAACTAATAAAAGCCTATGTCAAATAAAAGTGTGGCCTCGGTTTCACCCAGTTATTTGTATCTGGCCCTCTTGTATTGAAGGTTGCACACCTTTGCTATAAAGCGTCTTCGTTGTCAATGAGTCTTTTTATGAACGCGGCGGTGTGGCTCAACGGGCTAAGCGTTAGGAATACTCTGCGTGGGTTCGCAGGTTCGAATCCCATGCAGGGATGGTTATGTGCGAGAGGATTGCTGGACTCCTCGCCGTCGTTGGGTGGTTCACGTAACCGCTGGTCGGTTACGGCTTCCTCTACCACCAAATCCATGCTTCCGAAAACAAACAATATAACTAATCCCATACCCGACTTTGAATGGTAACCGGACGAGAGGCCGTGGTTCGCCTTATTATTCGCCGTCTTATCGGCTTTCCTCTCCCCCGGGATAAATATGTAAATCCTATCCTATCGCGCATGCGAAAACGAATTCCTAAATGTTGTTGCTATTAGCAACCAGTTCAAATGAGTAGGCTAAACATAATCGCCGATTGATAAGGTGAGAATTGAGAAATTAGTCAATTTGATTCATTTATACTGTTCGAGAAAAGTGTTTATTGTATAGTTTCTACACGACAGATCTTAAACTTTCTCTTATTTTCAGTCCCAGAATGTCAAAACGGCGGGTATTTAGACACGGACTATTATAACTGTATTTGCCTGGCTGGTTTCACTGGATATCAATGTGAAATACAGTTGCTGAACGAAGATGAAAAAGTGAGAGTTTTTGTTTGTTATTTCTCTTGAGGTTGTACCCCATAACTCTCTCTTTTCCTCAATATGTCAACAATAAAAGGGTGATTTTTTAATTTGTTCAATATGAATAACATCCCTCTTCACGAAATAGTAAGTTTATCCATTAGCTTTCGTTAGATCATAGTCTAACCTCTTCGAATAAAACAAGTTATAGCTTAATAAACAGCGAATAATATCACTATAGTATCATTATTTGCTTTTTATTAAGCCATATCTTGTTTTATCTGAATAAGTTAGACTAATGAAATCTAACGAAAGCTCACAAATATACTTACTATTTCGCGGAAAGAGATCATGTTAATTTTATTTTTCTTCATAATACTATCTCGTTCAAGCATTCTTGTGGCAACTGACACATACGGATACGCAATAGAAAGTAAACAAGGAGAAAGGACTTGCAGTTGAGTACACAATAACCTAGTACACCCCATATAGGTTTTTTGTTTCTTTCTTTTTCTCTCTCTCTCTCAATATACCAACATTGGAAGGATGGGAGTTCTTGCTTCTTTTATTCTCCTAAACAGCTTCTCCTATTCTCTCTCTCCCTTCTTTTTCCCATATTCAACCCTCTAACTTGAATCATGGCTTGACCCTGTCTTATTTTCGCGGAAACACGCAATCTCTCTCTCGCTCTCAGGATTTGCAAAATATATTTCAAATCGCTCAATGTTTTACAGAAACTGCAAGAAGACATTCAGAGGTGTTATGATCCCCAAGTAGAAAGTATTGAACTCGGTTCAGGCTCCGGATCCGGATCTGGTGAAGGTTCCGGATTTGAGCCGACTCCAATCACACCAATTACATGCAATAACCCAGAGAAGAGGCCTGTCAAAGGAAAATGCGAATTTTACAACACGTTCGAAGGATTCGTCTTCTTGAATAAAAATCTGACAGTGCCGGAGACAGAATGCGTGGTAAGTAGTGCTGGGCATTTTCGAATACCCGATGATTTCAGAATCGAATCGAATATTTTTCTCGAATCGAATCTCGAATACTTGGGAGATAATTGTTTGCGACTTTTATATTGTTATTGGTCCTGTCAACAAATGAATTATTGAAAACATGGAATACATCACTAAATCACGCGAAATAAGAAACACGTTTTATCAATAACTCACTTCAGAAAATAGTTGAATTGCGTTTGAAAAACATAGCTACAATAAAAATAATTTGAGAAATTCATTTCGACCATTGGAGGAAATGAAGAAACAAGATGGCGGCGATTCAAAACTTTGCTGTGAACCGATTCGAATAATTCAATATCTGATTCGATTCGAATATTCTATCCGAAAGGCCCAGCCCTAGTGGTAAGCCAAGCACCTCGAATCCAAGGTTCCGTTAAGATTCAGATATTTATTTCAAATTGCAGAGTTCACTGAAACTTTTTCGCAAAGCTTCCCGCCAAAGCTCAAAATAAAAATTCAGTAATTATTCATTTAGGGTTATGAAGGTAGATTGCGATGGAAATTCAAATTTTCAAATCCTTCGTACCCCGAACTGGATAATTATTAATTTGTTATTTAAAAATGTGGCGGGGGTGTTATTTTCAAATCTCACATTTTCTGCATAAGTGGGGGGGCTTTGTACAAAAGATCTGATTCAATATAAAGCAATAATACACATAAAAAACGAGAAAAAACATTGGCTCGTAGCAGTTGATGAGGAGTCGCGAAAGACTGGCTCATGTGAGTCATCTCTATACCCGGGGTTCTCAAACTTTTGGTACTGTGGAGCCCTTGAAAAGGATGGCTATTATTTAAGAAGCCCACCATAAATTTATAGAAATGATTGTTGTTCATTGGAGCTTATGTCATATTTGAATTATATTATTGTTGCATTATTTTGACGATAGCGTTGTCAAATTTTGTTATTGACGTTATTGCGTCTTTGGACAGTTGCAAAATTAACCAAGTCAGTAATTTAATAAGTTAACGGATAGCTCGGGCTGCCCCTAGGTTTAACTCACGGAGTCCTGGGTTCCGTATGAAGCACATTGAGAACCTATGATATAGATTCTAGACTGCATATTATGAACCAGTCCAGGGATTCTCAGAGTGGGCGATATCCACCTTCATGAGACGAAAGACACAAATAGGCCCTAGGACGTGATAGGTGGGTGATAGCGCAAGTTTGAAATGACAAACTTATTCCAAAACTTAGATTCACTCATTTAACAATACTTCCTCATTTTTCACGAAATATAAGTATTGATCATTTCATTTCCGAAATTGATGAGCTTTAGTTCAGTTGTAATAGTAAAAAAATAGTCCCGGAAAAGTTGCAATAAACTATGCGAAAGTTAGCTATCAGTAATTGTTAGCGTCACGTGGTTGTATATTTTGATGAAAAATGATGGTTTGATCATGTAAATCAGTTTGTAAATTTTCGGGGTCAAGGGTCGGGGAAAGATCCATTGCCATTACATAATTGTTACTTCTTTAGAAATACGCTCGCCATCGCACCTCTGATTACTCTGCGTGGGTTCGCAGGTTCGAATCCCGTGTGGGGATGGTCATGTGCAAGCGAATTGATGGACTCCTCGCCGCCGTAGGGTGGTTAATGTAACCGCTGGTCGGTTACGGCTTTCTTCGCCATCAAGTCCATGCCTACGAAAAATAATAAAAGTAACTAACTAATTCCATACCCGACATTGAATGGTCACCGGGCAAGAGGCTGTAGTTAGCAAAATAGGGTTGAGCCTTCTTATCGGCTTTCCTCTCCCCCGGGATAAATATGTAAATCCTATCCTTTTTATTTTTAGTTGGAAGCAATTTTTACTCCAGTCGAAGGGTTCATAGAAGTGGAGGCGAAAAGAGGAAAACTAGATACCTCGTCAAATGACGCAGTTGGTTATAAGGACGAAGACATCAGCGATGCAGCCCCAAGTGGTATTATAACTTATCTTACCATTCGGTATATGTGTATGTGCGTTAGTGTGTGTCTTTTGATGTGTGTATGCTTGTATATGTGCATTTAAACATGTGTATAGAATTTAAAAGTTAACATTTGGAACCAAAAGCATCGAGAACAGAAAAATTGCTTGTTGTATTACGTCCTTGTATATTTGCATTTTAAACGTGAGAGAGTTTTGCGTTTTTCAATGTGTGTATGCCTGTATGTGTGCGTTTTTCAAATGTACATGTGAATTTTAGAAGTTAACGTTTAAAAGCAAAAGCATCGAGAACAGGAAAAAAATGTTCTGGTATATGTGCGTCCTTGTATGTGTGCATGTCATACATGTGTATGTGCAAGACTTCGATCCTGGAGACATCAGCGATGTAGCCCCAAGTGGTATTATACCTTGTAGTACCATTCGGTATATATGTGCGTTTTATACATGAGAGATCGTGTGTGTTTTTCAGTGTGTGCATGCTTGTATTGGTGCATTTAATACATGTGTGTGTTGATTGAGACATTCAAAAGTAGAGGCTTCGATCCAGGAGACATGAGCGATACATCCCTACAAAGTATACTACAGTCTTATAGTACCATTCGGTATATATGTGCGTTTTATACATGAGAGATCGTGTGTGTCTTTCAATGTGTACATGCTTGTATGCGTGCATTTTATACATGTGTCTGTGGATTGAAACATTTATAAGTGGAGACTTCGATCCTGGAGATATGAGCGATGCATCCCTACAAAGTATAATGTCTTCGGTGTGTATGTGCACTTCGAACGTGAGAGAGTATGTGTGTATTTTAATGTGTACATGCTTGTATCTGTGCGTTTATATTTGTGTATGTGGATATTAGGCTTCAACATTTAAAAACGAAAGCAGCGAACACGGGAAAAGGAGCGTCCTTGTATATGTGCGTTACCTCTGGTGTATGGACGTTTTATGCATGAAAGAGTGTCATTCAATGTGTGCATGCTTGAATATATACGTTTCATTAGTGTGTATGTTAATAAAAGTGGAAGCATAGAACAAATGCAGAAGTAGTTGATGTTTTCTATGTGAGTCTATATTGATAAGTCCTAACATGTTTTAGAGATATTTGAATGTGTATGTGCTTCATATGTGCGTTTTATTTTATACATGTTTAAGCGGATTGAATTGGTGCGTACTATAAATGGAAAAATGTGTGTGTATTTTTTACGCGAAAAAGTGTGTGTGTCTATGAATGTGCGTGCATGTATGTGTGCTTTTTATGCATAAGAGAATATGTGTGGCGTTTAATGATCATATGTGCTTAATAATTTTTTTTACATGGGAAGATGTAAGTGTATTTCATTGTGTATGTGTATTTTAGATTGTGTGTTATTTGTTTTATATATATATATATATATATAGTATGTGACATCAACCTTTAAAAGTAAAAGCATCAAGTACTGACTTTTCCTAAATACGAACCAATAAAATAATATCTTTTTCAGTGTGTGAAAGTGTGTGTGTCTGTATATGTGAGTTTTATATGCGCGTATTAGATTTTTCTGATCTGCAACAAACTGTTTTAGGGCCGTCCTCAGTGTCCAAGCCAGTCTATTATTATACTTACGCTATTTTTAACATGTGAAAATGTGCGTGTCTTTCAATGTGGGTGTGTGTGCTTGTAAACGTGATATATATATTAGGGCAGAGTTACCCAAACTCCGGGGGCCCGTGTTGACTGTACAGGGGGTCCGCAACGATATGAAAAGAATCCGATCGATCTTTAATGATTTCAAGTAATATCCATTGCTATTATTAAAAGCAATTAAACTCTGTATTAGAGAATGTATGTGTCTTTTAAAGTGTGCATGTGCTTGTATATTTCTGTTTCATACATGACAAACTATTTCAGATCCGTCCTCATATCCCGTGCCAGTTCATTATTACACATACATCGTACATGCATCAAGCGATGCCAGCTATACTGAACTTCGAGGCGATGTACATGCTGCGGTTAAAGTCTCCGACGTGTTGCAACAATCCGGATTTAAAGGTAAGTTAGACTTCGACTTTCTAGACTTCGACTTTTCGCAATTAAGCAAATTTTTTCACTATAGTGTGGGGCAGGTCCATTGACATATGTCTCATAAATGCTGACAAAATTTTAGAAGAAACCATTCGTGCCTCGTGCAGTCGAGTTCCAATCAGATCGAGGCGTGTTGTGAAGGCAAAGGGAGAATATATCGAAAAATAGTAATGAATTCCATTATTTATCTTTATAATGCTATTTTCTGCAAAATGAATTTTTTTCTCTCTTGCATTTTATATTGTAGATATTTTCATGAACATTTGTCTACTCTTGGTCTGTACATAACCACGCACACAGTCAAACCTAACATTCTTTCAATGACCTCGATAAATGAATAGAAAGCCCATAAGGTTAATTTTGATCCCCATTCTTACACATAAAAATGCGCACATGTAACCCCACAATTGCACACATATTTCTAATTTTGACTTATGTTTAGGTGTGAGGAAAACCCCTACAGGTACACAACACACATAACCACACACACATTCCTAATCTAATCTTGTTCCACAGATCTCGATGAGTGCATCATATATGAAGTTAATTGTGATCCAAATTCAAACACATAAAAACGCGCACATAACCCCTACGGGCATGCAACACGCATAATCACATACATATTCATAATCTATCCTTGTTTTAAATATGTCGTTGGATTCTTCACATAAAAGATAATATTACTCTTTTCCCACACACTCCATGGACGTGCACACATAACCACACGAGCATACACAAATTTCTATGTGATTTCACACTTAACCACATACACATTATAATCTAACCTTGTTTTACAGATCTCAATGAATGCATCACACAAAGAAACACATGTGATTCCAATTCCACATGCACCAATAACATCGGCTCCTACACATGTGAATGCAATCTCAATTACACAGACGTGACAACTGAGGGTGAAAGGTCAGTCTAACGTGTTTGTGATTAGTAACCCAAAATGCAATTTATTATTGGTAATCCTGTAGTGTGTGTACCAGATTAGGGTTAGACCATAATTTTATTACGATTTTCCATGTTTTAGTTCTATTACGAGTTCGGGGACTGTCTGTGTTAGCCAAGTGAATATACCTCCAGCCCATAGGTTTCTGTCCCTTTATACAACTTGCTGTAATGTGGGCAAACAAAATTTAGTTGCATCCATAATGGTACACATACTTATGAAGCGCCGCCAGTGGTTCTAAATAGTGGTTCAGCATAGCGCCGCCTTCCTTTCAGCAAAACTATACTCATTTATTAAAAACCGGAATAAGCAAATTACTTGATTATATTCATTTAATGTGAAGGCTACTTTTGTATATAAGCAACTAACAGTTTACTGTATAATTACTGTTACTTGATTTCTATTTTATGAGGAAAAAATGACGTTATAGTATGACGTCACATTCAAAATAATCGAATTATTCCACAATGCAATTTATTATTTTGTGCAAAGAAACCAATATTCAAAATTATGATTGTCCCTCATCTTTCTGCGGCTCTCGATATAAAAAAAAAAACACCATAAACAATTATCTTACACATGTTTTCATCTGAGTCTCGTTGCGCTATTTCGTATTTTATGTGAAAAATATACTTTATTTTGTATTGTGTGCAAATGTCCTTTTTAAATCAGGGGTGTGCAATCGATAATACAGGAGGGCTAGATTAGGGCCACCATATTTGAAAAAGCAAAATTCCGGACAGTGCATGACTATTTTCATGACCTCGTAGTAAAAAATATGCGCACGGTACAAAATAACAATGTTCTGTATTAGCAGTGTGCACAGTACGATTGCAGATGTAGTAAAATTCCGGATTTCGGACATTTGAGCATTTTTTAAATTCTTCCCGGACCCGAAATATTACCCTGAATTCCGGACATGTCCGGAATTTTCCGGACGGTATGGCAACCCTAGGCTAGATACAAATAACATGGTAACACCGCGGAAAGCACCTTTATTTAACATATGCTTTCTAGTAGTTGCACGCACAAAACTTTTAGTTATTGATCATATGACAAGCGCAAGCTAGCTGTTAGGGCATTGTAACGTCATTAGCATAGATAATAAATCGGACTTAATTATAGACTTGTAGTTACTCGGACGTACCAGATTACCAGAGGGCTAGATACAAATAACTTGGTAACACCGCGGAACGCATCTTTATTTAACATTTGCTTTCTAGTAGTTGCACGCACAAGATTTTTTGTTAATATTTGATCATATGACATGCGTTGTTCGCATCACACTAGCTAGCTATTAGAACATTGTAACGTCATAAGCAAATATAATAAATTGAACTCAGGTATAGGTTTAGAATCACTCGGACGTACCAGATTGAACCAAATTAAAAACTCGTTTCGCTGGCCGCCCATTTTTTGTGGGGCGCATCTGGCCCGCGGGCCGCAGGTTGCACTCCCCCGTTTTAAATCATCAAATGTTCTTTATTCAAGTTCATCCTATTAAGATACCCAATAAAAATTCTGTTACATGTTCTTATTACAGGCCAGGATCTAAATGCCGATATGTTTGTGCTGCTGAATACGGTTCCAATGATCCGTATTGTATGAACGAGGGAGTTTGCCATATAACGCTGGAGGGGAATGCGATGTGCGAGTGAGTTGACTGCTTTTTTTGTTAAAAGGAACTATATGGATCGTTGTTGTTAATCTTAATATTGTTGTTGGGCTCTTTTCTCTGTGAGTGTGGCAATTATTCTATTGCTATCAAATTACATAGCCACTTATTTTGACCGAAGATAAACAGTATTATGAGACCCTAACAGGGCTGGTTGCGCTTAAAAGGAGCAACATTTTCGATTTTTATTTCTATTATCCTGGAACAAGGGAGTAGCCAGTTTTTCATACCATACATAGCATTGTCGTTGAAGTAATTTTTTCATAAAGAGGCGTTTCCTTGGTGGGAGGGTTTAAAAGTAGTGAATATTTTGGTTGAACTATTCGGGGAGGGGGAGGGGGTCGTAAGAACAAATTTTCTGGGTACAATTTTTATGGGGAAAGGGATTTTATAGAGAGGAATAGCGTGGGGGAATCTGAAGAAGAAAAAAAAATCAATCTAATTTTAATGGCGAATCTTCCTATGTACTTCAATAACAATCTCAAATTATTTTACAGTTGTCCAATAAACTACGCAGGAGATCAATGCGAGAACGATTGGCATATTTTCCTGAACGCTACCATCGGTCTTACAGTAGCTCTGGGACTTATTTTAGTCATCTTTGCGTTCGTCACTCTCATGCTCTACTTCCGAAACAGGATCGAACGGAACAGTTCGAAATCGAACTTTGTTGAACTGGAATCTCACTCTGCTAACGGAGAATTCAGTCAGCCGAACGAAACAACCGAAATAAAGGTAAGTGTTATTAATTTGGGTCTGGTGTAGTTTAGTACCACAAGTACTACTAGTGGACATGTCTCAACAGTTTTATGTACTCTCGGAGTATGTGAGCCAAGATTGCGGACCAGGACGTAGTATGTGTACCAGGTTAGGCCATAATTTCAGGTACTAATACTACAGGATTAGCTAGTCCCAGAACTCGTAATAGAACTGAAATAAGGAGAATTGGAATAAAATTATGGAATAAACTTAACCCGGTACACATTCTATGTTCCGGTGTCCGCCATCTTGGTTCACATTATTCGGGAGTACCTAATTTTGTAAAATGTTAATCCTGACCCCCACCTGATGACATCATCCAAAATTTGAGGGTTGATACAAAGACTAATAACTTATAGACACCATGGCTCTGTTTTAAGGCGTTGTAATATTCTTCTTCTGGCGCTCCAGAAGTGTGTGTACCAATATAGAGTGAACGAATTTTGTTCAAATACTTGACATCAAGTTGTGTAAAGGGACTGAAACCTATGGGCAGGGGGTATATTCACTTGGCTAAAACAGACAATCCCCGAACTGGTAATAAACTAAAATTATGAAAATCGGAATAAAATTACGGCCCCAACCTGGTACACGCACTATGGGAGTACCCTTCTCCTTCTAGGGCGATTATGGTCTTCCATTGCAATCGGTTGTCAGTTCTCCCGATGAGTTCATTGTTGGAGGAATTTCTCCTCGTTGCGGAGTTACCCTGGCTATCGGTGTATTTGTAACATATTCCATATAAATAAGACCACAGACAGAAGCAACTGCACGTGAAAAGCTATTCTGATTTTAGGCGTAAATGTCATATTTTCACTTCGCAATTTCCTCCCAATTTATTACACTTTGATTGAGGTGTCGCGGACTTGAATCTGAGATCATAGCCGGACCGAACAAAAATGTTGATATAAACTAAATTTGTATAATGTCCCAACTGTTAGAAAAGCTTCATATTTGAGATGGCTGTGGCTTTGATTTTAAAAGCAGTGTAAAGTATTTAGAAGATATTCACTCTTGAGTACCAAGAAACAACACAGATAGACAGTTGGTAACATTGAACTGCTTACCAAATTGTCAATACCAGAAACTTGCGTGGAAATTGTTTCTCATTTTTAAATGAATTGATATAATCCTATTTGCATTTAAAACTCAAACTCTGTCTGTTCGCCATGGCAACGGAAATTATAATGGGGCCACCTATATATCAATTCGGTAACTCTGTATTACTCAGCTGTCATATTCGTACAAATTCAGTGAAGAGCGAAGCTCATTTCTCCTTGCATTTACTTCTACGACAACTTTCGATTGTAATTGTCATCGCTTCCATGATGTCACAATTCAAGAACTGTCGAAGATAACTTAATTACTGTAACGTCATAAAAATCGATAACGTTAATTGTTTTGAACTCGCCATTCAGAACTCGCAAGTAAACAAAGCCAGCTGTTTACTCTTGAGTATCTTGAGAAATACACCTATTGAGAAAGGTTGCAGTATTTTGGATTAGCCAATTTCTAAACAATTTACTGAACTCCGAGGGAGAAACGCAATCTGAATACCAAGACATCTTTATGCCAAGCTTATTCAAATTTTGACCTCATTGACGCCTGACGCCTTTAGAGACAATTTACCACTGATATATAAAAAGAATTTATCAAGTCTTGCGCGCCATCTCGATATTAACTAGCTAACAACAAGCTACAAATAACAGATAGTAAGATGAAAGTGAGTTATTCATAAAAAAACGTTGAAAATGAGTGGACGGGACGTAAATATAATTAGCTTCACGCCCCCTCAAAAAATTGTCTAATTCCTTCCTTGCTGAGCGTGCCCCATTATTTGAGAACCACTGCTCTAAGAAATAGACGTGTTATTTTGTTGGCTTCATGTTTGTCGATGTACTTTACCTCAAATAGAAATTAACCTTTATTTGTGTATTCATACACAGGGCATCTCTAACCCCTATGTCAGCTCAGATGAAGGAATAACCGTTGCCACAAACTCAAAGGTAAGAAGTCTAATCCATATTTAGAACAGAATCTGAAAATATGATTTTCATGTTTATTCTGTGGGAAATGGAAAGCCGTCAATACGGCTTAATTTAACGACGAACTATTCTCTCTCGTCCGGTTACCAGTCCATGTCGGGTATTGGATTAGTTATTAACCAGTTATTTGTTTCCGATGTCTGGACTTAATGAGGGAGAAAGCAAGAAAACAACAAGCGAAGGGAAGGCTCCGAGTTAGATCATATCAGCTATCGGGTCCAACTGAAAGACGTGAGTTTGCAAGTGTCTTGAGCGTCTAAAAGACATTTCATCTATGAAAAATTGTTTAATACATTTTAAAAAAAAGGGGTCCGGCCCGCACCCCATCCCCTCTGCCTAGGCCCCTTCGAGTCCAACTCTAGTGGAGTCAATGACTCCAAAATGGTGCTAGTTACCTCAAACACTTTTTTCTATTTGCAAGATAGGTCGATGATGAACCGGATGTTCCTGAAGTGGAAGAAGACAGATTATAGCCTGTCACCAACACGATGACGTCACCAACATAATGACGTCATCAAATTTCTTTGCCAACAACATTCTCTGAAACTAACATTGTGAATGATGTTTCTAATGAAATTGATGCTAATTATTATTTCGCTGCACTTTTAATAAAAATCAGTTAATTTTATCTGGATTTTATGTGAAATCAAAATCTGTCAGGGCTGCAAAGTCGGAGAAAAATTTGCCGGATTTGCCAAAATTTTGACTCCAATCTCAACTCAGGGTCTAGGAAAGTTTGGCTAGGAATTAAAAGAAAACCGAATCTTGACTAAAATAATTTAAATGAGTCCGTGGACTTCTCTGTTGAAATAGCTGTGTTAAATACGGGGTTCCCAAACATGGCGTCGCAGAATAATTTCCGAATGGCCGGCAAAATATTTGTACATTTCCAAAAAAAATTTTTGTTTTGCAAATGAGAACTTGTCATAAAATTCGTTATTTTTACGAGGTGATTCCTACTACAGATAATTAATGCGTCGCGATTCAACATTCATTAAGTCTTTCTGTCGTTGACGCGGTGGTAAATGGTCCAATACCGATCTATCTGTGTCGTTTTCTTAATTATGTACTTTATTTAGTTCACTCGAAGTGTACGGACCCTGGTAATTTTCCTACCCTCCTCTAAATTTAAAGGTTTGACACCGCACCAAGATCCAACGTTCATAAGTCTGAATTATCTGCTCCCAAAATTTCGACTGAAACGCTATTCGAAAATAATGAGTTTATCGATGGCGCAAGTATTGTATTGTCTGGGTGGCATCGCATTTTAACGTAGAGTGATGAAGTCATAATAAATCACCCTTTCTCCCCTTTTCTGCGACATTTAGAAAACTCAAATAACGTCAAAATGTTACTAACTCCGGTTCTGCAGCCCCGATGCCAGTAAACAGGGACGTGCTCAAGGTGTGACTTTGAATGCAATTTCGATTAATGAATCGTGTTTTAGATTTACCTATACCAATTACTCTAATATCATCAGGAATATGTAAAAGATGTTACATTATTACTTTTCGTGATTTGTCGATTTCAATTTTTAGCATATCTTACATACTTTACGATCTCAAACGATATTTTAACGTGGAACTTTTGTATTTAGACAAAGTCCTTTTCGTTCAAAATTCATTAAACGAATTACATATTAAATGAGAAGATTGTGCTACTTCTGATTGGGGCGTTAAGAACAAACTCTGATGAAGTTGTGGGAGTTTCGAGGGTGTGTCAGTGATAATTCTGTGTATTTTCATTAGCAGATACTATTATTTGTGGTTCCATTACATTTGAACCCACGTACATTTGAACCTATGACAATTTCACCTGTATGCTATTGCACCTATGGAATTTTTTTTGTTTCATGGATAGTTAAACCCATACTAACCCTAACCCATGGGTTTTAGCACCCGCATATAGATTAAACCCGTGGATATACGCATGGGTTCAAATGTACATGGGTTCAAATGTACGGTCACCCTTATTTGTTGTCATATTCACAAAAGTGCGTAGAAGGATTCGGAAAATATCTTTTGTGCCAAGTCCACGCCAAAATATCATCTCAGCCAGAGCTCAAAATAATAAAATTAATGAATATCAGGTTAGGGTTAGGAATGCAGAAATTCGCTGGAAATTCGATGTTTCGAATCATTTCCTAACCCTATGAACCTTGTCCCTTTTGCCTAGCTAACCCAACCTAAGATAGCAGTGGGGCAAAGACGGGACAGGGTTTGGGTGTTTTACGTAACCGCTGGTCGGGTACGACTTTAAAACAAATCACGAATCTGAGAACGAGATAGCGTTCAGAGACTGCAGACTTATCGATCTAGCGCCATGTATCCTTTGCTCTGACTCAATAGCGACACCGCGTGTCCCGTCACTAATTAATTAATACCTAATAATACGACATATTTCATCTAAAATCAATAGGCTCCTGGTCCGAAATATGATGAATGCACATGAAAAATTTGGAGCAGATTCAACCGCGCTTTCGTGAGATATCACGTAACATGCGAAAGTGTCTAAGTGTCTAAGTGCGGGCGTTATTGCTGGAGAGATATTTGAATTTATCAACCTGTAGTCGGTGTAGTGAAAACTAGAACATAACTACCATGTCAAGTGGTCCGCGCAATTATTCGTAAACTACATGTGGCCCTTCGGCTATAAAGGTTGGACAGGCCTGTGCTAGTGTATGGTTCCATATCAGAGCTACCAACTGTCCCGGAATGGCCGAGACAGTCCCGGAATTGACATCTGGCGTCCCGTGTTCAGGACTGGGCCACGGTTGTCCCGGATTTTACTGACAACCACAGAGTGAAAAGATAGAATGCCATATAAACGTGCTGGCTTCGTTTAAAACTGGAAATGGATGTAATTCACGTGAATATCTGTCATCCAAATAGAAGTGAGTTGAAACTTGTGGATAAGACATGCTTTCTCCAAGTGTGAGTTTCTGGTGACATAACAATCAAACGAGAATATCGGTCGGAGACCGAAGACTTATCGATCGAAACTGCGGTTTCGATTCATGACTCTATAGTGACACCGCGTGTCCCATCACTAATTAATTAATATGTCGCTAATTATACGACATAATTCATCCAAAATCAATAGGCTTCTGGTCCGAGATATGATGAATGCACATGCAAAATTTGGAGCATACCTTCGTGAGATATCGCGTGCATCTAGCAGACAGACAGACAAACAGACAGACAAACAGACAAATACCTATCAACATACTTACCGATCTAAAGATCGATAAGTAATAAGTTAAACAATTGCAAAATGGATGATAACATTACATACTGCAGTCACCTTAATTTGAGAGAACCATTCAACTTGGCATATCAATTGAAAAAACGCAGGTAGATTTAAAACGGTTCTGTAGCTGTAAGTCGGTAAAAGGCAAGTAAAGAAAGTGGGTTGAAAGTAAAGGTGAACATAGAATTAGATTACTGGTTCTCAACCAGTGGGCCATGGCCCACTGCTGGGCCATAGAGGCATTTTCGAGTGGGCCACGAGCGTATTAAAATTACTGTAGTTATTGAAAAGTTTAGTTTCGTTTGTGTCATTATAGTCAAATATTTTATTGTAGTAGCAATGAATGATGCTGCTGCTTTTTATTCTAATTATTAAAGTGAAAGTATTTATTTTTGCAGAAAGATTCTCGACTTTCTTGTAGTTTCTCCCTTGCATGAGAAAGTTAGTGAGCCACGGAATTTTTATGCAACGAAAGTGGGCCATGGAAGAAAAAAGGTTGAGAACCACTGAATTAGATAGATCAGTGGTTCACAAACGGTGAGGCGCGCCTCTCAAAAGGGGCGTAGACATTTTTTTGAGGGGGCGTGGAGCTAAATAAAAATAAAAATTATCGTTAGGTTTGACCTTGCCAGCCTTAATTGAGATATTTACATTTCTCATTTTGTCAGCCAAAAACAACTATTTACGTTTCGTCCACGCAATTTCAACGTGTTTTTGAATAAAACATATATACTTTCAACTTACCATCTGTTATTTGTAGCTTCTTGTTAGCTAGTTATTTTTGAGGTGGGGCGCGGGACTTGATAAATTCTAAAAATAGGGTGCGGCTTAAAAAGCTTAAAAACCACTGTTACTTTGGAGATGTCTTTCGTGATTCACAAGCTTTTGTTGCATCAATTTTAGACAGTAAGATGTCCCGGAATGGTTTAACACCAAGTTGGCAACTCTATTCCAGATATGTTTATAGCTTATTCATAATAACATGCACTAGTGAGCATTTTACCCGGGCAGAATGCTATAGAGGTGAGTGTGATGATTTGAATAAAGATACAAATATTTCACTCTTACTTGACCTTCAATTTATTTATTCTCATGCATAACAACATCTAAAATTGGTTTGATCTCCGAATTATTTTTGAAGTTGAGTGTAAGGGGCATCATTATCAGAAAATCTCACGTTCGCCTAACACGCGAAAGGTCCCCTGGTTCGAAACCGGGCGGAAACAGTTCATTTAGTTCATGTTTACTACAAGCTTTTTCTGAATGTTTTCAATAATCTCTCAGGAGTATTTTTTATATTTATTTCAATATGACCAACCGACGTTTTTGTAGTGTAGTGGTTATCACGTTCGCCTAACACGCGAAAGGTCCCCGGTTCGAAACCGGGCGGAAACAATTACTTTAGGTCATGTTTACTACAAGTTTTATCTACATCTTTTTATTAAATCTCCCAGAAGTATTTTTTATTTCAATATGACCAACCGACGTACCTGTTTCCGTAGTGTAGTGGTTATCACGTTCGCCTAACACGCGAAAGGTCCCCGGTTCTAAACCGGGCGGAAACAGTTAATTTGGATCATGTTTATTACAATCTTTGTCTGAATCTTCTCATTAAATCTCCCAGGGGTATTTTTTATTTCAATATGACCGAACGACGTATCCGTTTCGGTATTGTAGTGGTTATTACGTTCGCCTAACACGCGAAGGGTCCCCGGTTCGAAAACGGGCGGAAACAGTTAATTTGGTTCATGTTTTACTACAATAAATCTTTCATTAAATCTCCCAGGGGTAACTTTTATTTCAATATGACCGAACGACGTAACCGTTTCGGTATTGTAGTGGTTATCACGTTCGCCTAACACGCGAAAGGTCCCCGGTTCGAAACCGGGCGGAAACAGTTAATTTGGTTCATGTTTACTACAAGCTTTTTCTGAATGTTTTCAATAATCTCTCAGGAGTATTTTTTATATTTATTTCAATATGACCAACCGACGTTTTTGTAGTGTAGTGGTTATCACGTTCGCCTAACATGCGAAAGGTCCCCGGTTCTAAACCGGGCGGAAACAATTACTTTAGGTCATGTTTACTACAAGTTTTATCTACATCTTTTTATTAAATCTCCCAGAAGTATTTTTTATTTCAATATGACCAACCGACGTACCTGTTTCCGTAGTGTAGTGGTTATCACGTTCGCCTAACACGCGAAAGGTCCCCGGTTCTAAACCGGGCGGAAACAGTTAATTTGGTTCATGTTTTACTACAATAAATCTTTTCAATAAATCTCCCAGGGATATCTTTTATTTCAATATGACCGAACGACGTATCCGTTTCGGCATTGTAGTGGTTATCACGTTCGCCTAACACGCGAAAGGTCCCCGGTTCGGAACCGGGCGGAAACAGTTTCTTTAGTTCATGTTTTACTACAAGCTTTATCTCAATCTTTTCATTAAATCTCCCAGAAGTATTTTTTGTTTCAATATGACCAACCGACGTATCTGTTTCCGTAGTGTAGTGGTTATCACGTTCGCCTAACACTCTAAAGGTCCCCGGTTCGGAACCGGGCGGAAACAGTTTCTTTAGTTCATGTTTTACTACAAGCTTTATCTCAATCTTTTCATTAAATCTCCCAGGAGTATTTTTTGTTTGGATA